TCATCATCATCATCATCATCATCATCATCATCATCCCCCTCCTCCTCCTCCTCCTCCTCCTCCTCCTCCTCCTCCTCCTCCTCCCCCTCCTCCTCCCCTCCTACTCATCCTCCTCCTCCTCGTCCTCCTCCTGCTCCTCCTCCTCCTCCTGTTCCTGGTCCTCCTGCTCCTCCTCCTCCTCCTCCTCCTCCACATCATCCTCCTCCTCCTATTCTTGTTATTCGTCTTCTTCGTATTATTGATAGTATTCTTCTTATCATTAGTATTATTGGTATTATTATTATTAGTATTATTATTAAGTATTATTATTATTAATATTATTATTATTATTATTAGTATTATTATTATTATTAATAATATTATTATTATTATTATTATTATTATTATTATTATTATCATTCAGTATTATTATTAGTATTATTATTATTTATACTACTAATATTATTGTTATTACAATTATTATTATTATTCTTATTAATATTATTATTATTACTGATATTAGTCGTATTATTGGTATTATTATTATTATTATTATTATTATTAGTAGCAGTATTAGTATTATTAGTATTATCATTAATATTATTATTGTGTTTCTTAATATCAGTATTAGTATTCTTACGCTTCTCTGATTAGTATTAGCCTTCTTCATATTATTATTAGTATTGGTATGATTATTATCATCATCATCATTATGATTATTATTATTGTTATTACTATTATTATTAGTATTACTACTACTACTATTATTAGTAGTATTATTATTATTAGTAGTATTATTCCTCCTCATCATCATCATCATCATCCTCCTGCTCCTCGTCCTCCTCCGCCTCCTCCTGGTCCTCCTCCTCCTTCTCCTCATGAGTTGCAGACACTAGTCCATGATATCAGAAAGCGTGTGCGCTACGAGGCTTTCCCTCCCCTCACGCCTGACGACCTGCGTGCTGCACGTGGTCGGACTATAGGTAACTCAGGGATTGAAGTTGACCGACTCCGCTCACACGATTTGCTTCGTTTCCCAGAGGAAGCCCTGTGTGAGATGGTTTCTCTCATGGGTGCCTGCGAGGCCGCGCAGACCTGGCCTCATCAAGTGTTGTCCGAAGAATATTTCGGTGTAGTGGTTGAGGGGGTTATGGCTGCGTATGGGTTCCCTCCTTATCGCAGTGCACATCGCACGCCCGATGCCGCTCCCCCAACGATCAGTCAGAGCCTCGTCGGCCTAGTGATAGAAACATGGCGGGCCCATGCCAGAACATCGAATAGCCGCGACGAGCCGAGGCAAATACAAATCTGCACGTCAATGTGAATGCATTTTGTGCACAAGCCATGGCTGCACTCGCAACTGCGAGTGTCAGCGGCGAACGAATAGGCCAGCAGTTGTTACATGTGTAATAACGGCGGCTATCGGACCTCATGATGATTGCGTTCCCTCCTCCTCCTCCTCCTCCTCCTCCTCCTCCTCCTCCTCCTCCTCCTCCTCCTCCTCCTCCTCCTCCTCCTCATTCTCTTCCTCATCCTCCTTCCTCCCCACAATCCCTATGACTTCCTCCTACCACCCCTCATTCGAAAAAAAATGTTGAAGACGCTCGTCAAGACATTGCACGACGGATTATGATGCGTTTCCCTTGAGTGGAAGCTTTGGCAGCGGCACCACGAGCCACATGCCCATGACCACGAAATTGCGAAGGCAAATTCTGCCACGCGCCCTTAAGCTGGCACTAACACGCACATCGTCCTCCATGGTGTCGAACCCAATCGATTGGGCCGACGTCGGATTCACCAATCACGGTACATCTGACTGTCCGCAAATACGGCGCTTTTCGCCCCCAGCAATTTGAGGTCGCATCCCACACGCGCACGTTCCAAGATGTTCCGTCTCTCCCTCCTGGCGATGGTAAGTATTTGATATGACCCACTAGCGCGTTGCAGCCCAAGCGTTTCACATCCACCCACGAAAGCGGGCATGGCAAGACGTTTGGACCGCGACCCCCCCCTGGCCCTGCTGCTGGCGCCCCGGGCACTGCATGCGGATCGACTGGCCCAGGAATTGCCCCAGCAGCGGGAGGCGGCGGCGGAGGTTCTGGCGGCGGTGGTTCGGGCGGCCCACCGCCGACCCTCCTTTTTTTCCTGACGCCAAACTTTCGTTTAGCTGCTACGCCAGCCCGCTTGAGCTTCTTCCTGGCGAGGGCCGCCTTGACGTCAGGGAACTCATGTTTATCGTCTGGGTCCATATCTTCGAACACCTGCTCCATCATGAAAATGCTGGGGTCCAACTCGATGCCATCATCATCGCCAGTCTCGAAGCAATCAGTCACTCGTTTAGCGAACTCGTTGTCGCCTGGCGAAGCATAACCAGCAAGCGACGTCAACAACGCCCTGGGGCTGTCGCCGTCGGGGCGCAGGCCCAAGAAAGTCACGCACTTCGCGAAGTCGTCCACGTGCAACCCGTGCTTCTTTTGTGATAGTGTGTATTTGATAAGTGATATGTTGCGTCCGTTCCGTTGAAAGACAACGCCATGCAAGGGGCGTCGGCAGGCAGTCCAAGACATTACAGACCAGTCTCTCGGATCAGTAACATGCAACCACGTAACCGGACCGTTACTTAGCGCAAACAACTCCGCGTTGATTGTGGCCACTGGCCACGCCAAGGAGCCCCACACTGAATTCCCTAACGACGCAAATATTTCGTTGTCGCTGGACCTGACCACCAAAATACACTTCAACATCGATTTCGAAAAACACGCACTGCATATGTTGACATCTGGCAGGATGCTGCCATCTCGTTTTCCTTGTCTGAATGCGAGTAGCCAGTGCCATGCCGCTGCCGACTTCTGCAAGACAGATTCCGATAGTGTGCCCCAGACTTTGTTCGGGTGCACAATGCGGCTCCAACGCTTTGGCAGTTTGTGGCATTCCGAACGGTGATACTGTCCGCTCGCTCTCGAACGCTTGGAAAACTTTTTGAATTTGGCACACCAATGCGCTCTGTCAATGGAAGAAGGCGTCGCGACGCCGCGTTTCCCCAACACGCCTGACTGTTCAATCGCTGTCTGGATGGCTGCGCACCGCATGTTTTGGTTCATGTTCCCTTTGACAGATCCGCCGCCGTGCCTGCGCGGCCCGCGGGATGTCTGGTAGAGTTTCTGCATC